AGTGACACGGGTGGCGGGGGGGGCACGGGGCCCCCTGCCTGGCCCCCATCGTGGAGCCAGCCCTGCCCTCCCTAGGGCCGTGCCAGCTCCCCTTAACCTGCTTCCCTCACCATTCTTTCAGGGGCTTCCTGGACCCCCAGGACGAACCGTAAGCTCTGCCCCCACCCCTCTCCGTGCCCACGGGCCAGTGCCCAGCCCCATGTGCTCTGACGGCCCCTCTCTGCCCCACAGGTTGACGTGGGGCTCGGAGGAGTGGGGGAGAAGGGGGAGAAGGTAATAAGTGGGTCCCTGGGATGCTGGTGGCGGGGTGCCCTGTGCTGTCCCCTACCGGGCTCTGGCTGTGTGCTGGGGTCCTGGTGCACCAAGCCCTCCCTGCCCAAAACAGCCCCCGCCATGTGGAGCTGATGTGCACTGTGGCTGAGAGACACATGCCATGTGGGGGGCACGTGGGATGTGGGGGGCACATGGCATCAGGGGGCACATGCAATCTGGAGGCACGTGGGCTGGCGCTCCTGCATGGTGCTGCGAGGAGGGTGATGGGGCAAAAGGTCCCTGTAGAGCTGAGATCCTTGAAGGGAGCAGTGTTCTCATGGCTCCCCAGTCCCACAGGGATCCCACATGAGTACCCCACGTGCTGGGTGCTCTGCTTTTACAAGCCAGCTCAGGCTCAGGGCTGTTTTGGCCACGGGCTGGGCTCTGCAGGGTGCTGGAGGGTGCCTTGGCCGGTGCCTTCCCCCCAGCTTGGCTGGCTCTTTTTTCAGCCAGTGCCCATATTTTCAGACCTTTGCTATTATCCCACCCTTAAACCACACGGCATAAGCAGAGGTGCTCAGCACAGGCTCTGGCACGGGCTTGGCACAGGTGTTTGCGCTGGCAGCGGGGCAGTACCCTCTAACTGTGGTGCCCTTCCCTGGCAGGGGGACCCCGGGGACCCGGGTGAGGATGGCGCAAAGGGTACCCGGGGCGACACTGGCTCCCCCGGCCTGCCTGGAGAGAGGGTAGGTGCCAGGTCTCTGGTGCAGGAGGCAGCAGGACAGCAAGATGGGCAATGTTCTGCGGGAGAGCCGGGGGTCCTGGTGTGCAGGGGGTGGTGGGCAAGCACCCAGGACCCCCTCCTTCCCCCCCATGCCCCACTGCTGAGCGTGTCTCTCTCTTGCAGGGCGTGGAGGGCCCCCGCGGCCCCCCTGGTGCACGGGTGAGTGCCCCTTTCCCCACGGGGGGCTGAGCAGGGCGTCTGCCACCCTGCTCGGCTCCCAGTCAAGGGCAACAATGCTCACTCCTCTTCCCACCCCGCAGGGTGACCCTGGGGACCGAGGCCTGCCAGGAGAGAAGGTGAGGGAGCTGGGGCTGGGGACTGCCTGTTGCCCCACAGCACCCCACTCCTGCCCCATGGCTTCAGCCCACCTGCCCTGCTCTCTTACAGGGGGACCGCGGCCCGCCGGGACTGGATGGCCGCAATGGGCTGGAAGGCAAACCCGGGCCCCCAGGCCCCACTGGGCTGCGGGTGAGCCTGGTCTGGGGCAGGGGGCATGGCCGCCCCTGGACACTGCAGGTGGGGGCTGCAGGATGGAGGGGCGATGGGGCAGGAGAAGCTGCCCCCCCGGACATCCTCTGCTCCAGGCTGGGGATGCTCATGGGGGCCCCGTGGCAGGGCAGGTGTGTCCCTGCCCTCATCTGCTTCTTGTCTGCAGGTGGATCCAGGGAAGCAGGGGGACCCTGGCCGGGATGTAAGTACCTCCGGGGAGGGCGGGTTTGGGTTGTGCTCCCACTGCGGCCATCGCGCTTGCAAGGGACCGATGTCCTGTCCTGTGCTCCTTGGTCCAGAACAGCACAGCGGGACCGTCCCCCATCCCCGGCAGGGTGCCACCCTCCAGGCCACGCTCCCTCCTCCCAGAGCTGGCTGGGGGAGGCAGATGCCCTGCCACCCTGTGGTCCCCATCTCCTTTCCCCACAGGGGCTGCCTGGGCTGCGTGGGGAGCAGGGTCTGCCTGGCCCCGGG